TGGGGCCATCTTCAGTTGTCCTGATCTATATTTTGCCCCTGGACCTAGATAGCTCCAAAGGAGAAAGTGAGGCTGGTAACTTTGCACAGTTAAATCCAACTCACTTGCATGTCATGGCATCACCTTCCTGATGTCATGGTCCTCTTCCAGAATGAAGGATGAACAATCTGTGAGTTGTTTGCTTGTGTCTTCCCATTAGACTGTGAATTTCTTGACGGCAAACGTTGTTTGCATCCTTTCTTTGTAGCCTCAGAACATAGCACTGTGCCTGGAAAGCACTAGATAAATGTTTAATTTGACTTGATTCTCATATTGTAATCATAATCTAAGGCAGTACTGGACCTGGAGTTAGGAAGACCTGATTCAAATCTGGCCTCAAACTTTTACTAGCTATATGACCCTGGGGAAATCATTTAACCTCTGTTTGCCTCAGTTTTATAAATAAGGCTAATAAATCACCTGCCCCCCAGAATTGTTGTGAGGATCAAATGAGACCTTATTTGTAAAGTGCTTTACCCACTCTAAACTATTCCATAAATGCTAGCTATTGCTGTTATCTAGTGAATCCATAGGTAAAAACTACAAAATTCAAAGAGTACTGACCAGACTTTTGCTATAAAAGCTACTAATATTTGTCATGACATTAACACTTATACATAAGAGGGTTTTAACTGTATTAGTCATCAAATAGTCCTTTCTAGAAAAAAGACAAAATTGTCTTCTAAAAAAAGCTGCAGTTGTTAAGTTGGTTAACATTCTTTCATGCTATTTTTATTTCAATGCCAGAATAAGATGAATGTTAACCAATCCTTGGAGAATGTTGTGGTATTATGACATGGAGATCAGTTAATCACCAAGTGTTTATTAATTACGTACTGTGTACTAGACACGGTGTAATCTGAGTATAAATTCCTTCAAATGCAATTGACCTTCCCACAGAAATTAAATATAGAAACTCGTGCCTAGTTTGTTCCATCTTGACAAAACAGTTTTTGCTGAAATAATGAAAAACAGCTGATGATTTCCCAGCTAGTGCTGGCTTAAATGGCAAGAGTCACTAAAGTAATGCTACCGAAGCAACTATTTCTTAAAATATAATCAGACACTATCCCAGGAGGCCCGGGATCTGAAAGTGCCACCAGATAAGGGAAAGAAAGAAAAGTATAAAGAAATACTTAAAAATAAAAATTAGATTATGGTCCAGATGGGAGGAGTTCATATTAGGAAAGTGGGGAATATAAAAATGGAATGATAAAAATCTATAATAATTCTTTGATGCAGCAAAAAGATAGGATTGAGGAAACCATCAGGAAGGAAAATGAATTATAATAATAATAGTACTTTAAGGTTTGCAAAGTGCTATATATATATATATATGCATATATGTATATGTATGTATATATGATCTCACTCTATTTTTACAAGAATGCTGTGAAAAAAAGTGCTTGTATTATCCCCAGATAAATATGTTTCTTAACAGCCCTTGTTAGATATACTCCATCCCTGGTCAAGAGCCTTTTGTATTGATGTATTTAGCTATAGCCCAAAAGTCCAAATTCCATTCTCAGATATCATCTTCTTAGCCATATGCTCACTACCCAAATCTACTTTCTCTTCTGAATCCCCTTATCTTTACTTAGCTGGGGTGAAAACACCACCTATGTCCCTAAAAGTTTCAGTATTTTACCCTAGAATTTCATAATTCTTAGCAATACTTTTCAGGATTTTTCTGGTGGCATCATGAATGTATTTGCCCCCATACCAAACACTAGAAGTATGTAGTGGTTGTGAAATCTGACAAATCTCCAAAAGCTCTCCACCACAATCCAGATACTTATCTTGAAAGGAAAGGAATCTTCTTGCTTGTGTGAGGAAAAATCATATCCCTTAGAATGGAGACATTAACCCCCTTCTTCATGTGTTCTCCTGTTATCCATGACTAGATGCCCACTCACTTGGGATCATACATCACCCTCCACCATCACAAATGCAAGAAGCTGCTTCTTCTAGAATGGCTCAACTCCCTCTGTCCAGGAAAAGTGTCATATTATTTGTTCCAGAAGGTCAGGACTCTTTCTTCTTCCCTTCCTTCCTAGTGTCCCATTCTTTCATCCTCCAATTTCATGGTACAGGTGAGACTTTCCTCATGTCTCCTCACCTTCTTTTTCTCCTGGGGATTTTCCTTGAAGCACTTCTTACATTCTTTCAAGGAATACTTTCTTCCTCCTGATAACCTGGAAAATGGACACCTACTCCTCCAGCCCTTTCACTTCTACTATCACACATCCTCTTTAGGTCACAGCAAAATTCTCCTTGCCCCCTATACATGTTTGAAGTAAGGTCCATGGTCTTGTGCCTTCCCCTGGTGGCTCACTGGCGTGTAGCAAACTGGTTATATACCACTTGTATCTTCTGTATGAGTGCTCCATCCTGGGAAGCTCATGACCAAAATGTTTTAGGGTAGACCCTTGCCTTTTCTGTAAATAGGATGCTGCAATCTGCTTAGCCTTTAATTGGATATTAAGATATTCTTCTCATGACCTAACACCAACAGAAGCAACCAACATAATCAGTAAGCGAACACTCAATTATTTCATTAGTTCTGTCCATGTTTTCCTCCTTGCAGCTGATCTCCAGCTACCTTTTTGTACTTCCCTAGCCCCTAAATAGTCTATCATTGTAGTAGGGTTAGGAGAAGGAAGGAGAGAGATATGGCTAAATATATTTGATAGTAAACACAAGACAGAAGCACATAATACCTTTATAACATAATAAAACAACTAAAGAAACAAAGAGAAAATCAGATGATTCAATTAGAGAAACCCACATTGTTCACCTTGCTCCCCTTGGGTTATCTATCTTCAGAGGCAATCAGAGTAGGGTGGACACAAGCAGACCTCAGAATACCTTAGCACCTCACACCGTCACCTCTTCCCTCCTCCACAAGCTCTGGCCAATTTCTTCCTACAGAAAAGAACATAAGCTTCCTAGACTAGCCTTCAGGGCTCTCCAATATGTGGCTGCAACTTAGCTGCCACTAGCCCTCAACGGGAACCTTCTCTGGCCAAGGAAGGCTCCCCCTCTTTGTCCTCAGGATATATCATGTTCCTTTTCTTGTGCTAGCCATGCTAAGCACTTCATCAATCAAGATGCAATGCAAGTCTCACTCTCTCCACTGATGAATGACTGACTTCTCCAGAAGAGGCAAGTCTTCCCCATCTCTCAATTCCCATTATGCTTTGAATTGGGACCTGGCATGTTGACATAGTAACTTACAGTGTCTTATATGATGTTGTATGGATATTTCTTCTCCTCCATACCTTTGGGATTTTATGTTTTTTTGAGAGCAACAACATTCTTTTATTTAAAATCATAGACCTGTAACAGACTTCAGAGGCTATCAAGTTCCATCATTTTACAGGTGAGGAAACTGAGGCACAGAAGTGAAGTGACTTAGCTAAGGTCACACAAGTAATAAGGCACCAAAGGTGGGTTTTGAGCCCAGGACCTCTGACTTCAGAAACAGGACTCTTTCCACTGTGCCATTATGGCTCCACCTGTCTTCGCTGTCTCTACAGCCTCCAATCATGTCATGGAATATTTGTATTTTCCTGGGCAGGTTGATTAACTTTCTCAAAGAGCTCAAGTGAAGGTTAAGGTGGATCGTGTCAGGGAGAAAGATGTGACAGTACTATAGTAGTCTCTGAATTCAACTCAATTCTATTCAATAAATGTGTGGAGTGAATGAGACACTTTTTAATGACAGTGTGATGTACAGTTATCTGTGTTTGTGTATTATCCCACTCCATTAAGATGAGAATTATGTCTTCTCTAAACTTCCTTCTTCCCCCAGGCTCTAGCATGGGGCCCTGCACACAGAAGACGCTTACTAATGTGCTCTGAATACAAGAGGTACTTCATAAAAAGATTTGCTGAATGAATGAATGAATAAGTGAGTGAGTGAAAGCACTTCTTGTGTGCAGAACTATGGGCACACAAGTGTAGATCCCGTGTAGATCCAAAAGTCATGGTAAGATGTGGTCCTTGTCCTTGTGGAGTCCAAGGGTTAGTTACCGGATCAGACACCAATTATGGGCAGCTCTAACACACCATGATCCAGGCCCAAAGCATCCTAGAGGTGAACAGTAAAGGGCCATGGGATTGCAGAGGCAAAAACGGCTCTTAGCAACAGGGGAGACTAGATAAGGCTTCCAAGAGGAGAAGGGGGTTTGAACTGACCTCTCAGAGATGACTAGGACTTTGATGAGAAGCGACAAAGAGGGAGGTGATTTCAGGGATGAAGAGAGCACAAAGTCACTGAGCCAGGAGTTTACCACATGTGCACAGGCAGGGAGCTGGGCTGGTAGCACAGAGTGGTCCAGGTTAGTTGGAGCATAAGCTGTACTGAGGGGGAAGGGAGTAATTTGGGATAAGACCAGAGAATGAGGATGGTGATAGACTGTACAAGACAATAGGGAGCCATTGACCTTTTGGGGAAGAGGAGGGACGCAGAAAGACTTATGGAAGGATTGCAGGTAACTGTTGTCTCATGTATGAATCAGACACAAATGTAAAGAGGAAACAAAACATAATAATAATAATAGTTACATTTATATTGCATTTAAGGTTTGCCAAGCACCGTAAGCATGTATCTCATCAGATAAATAACTTCTGGTAAAACCTTGATCCTGGGTCTACCTTAGAAATATTGCGAGGCAGCTGAAAGAGCTTTAGATTTGGACTCAGGGGACCTGGGTCCAAATCCCACCTATGACACATATTATCTCTATGATATTGGGTAAGATTCTTCACATATCTGGGCCTCAGTTTCCACAGCAGTCAAAGGATTAGGCTGGCTTATTTTGCCTCTTCCAGACCTGAAGTTGTGATCTTATAGTCAGGACATCCAAGTGATGGAGATGCTGGGTGGGCTCTGTGTTTGGAAGCCACAGCCCCCAAACACTGCTAATGACTCTTTTCTCTCTCTCTCCCTTGCTCAGCCTTCAGGAAGCTAAGGATCGTCCAGGCTGCCCTGGCACTTTTGGCTATTGCACTGGCTGCTGCCCTTAAAGTTGTGGTTATTCTATGTAAGTTCTCACCTAACACCATGGTCTGAAAGGCTGCAGGCTTAAACGTCTTTCTCTGATCAGACTGGGAGAAAGCACCAGAGTGAATCTTGGGAGGGAGCAGAGTCTAGAGTGACATAGGGGTCAGGGGGTGATTGGGACTCCACAGATGGCTTCTCTGCTCAATCACCTGAGATGGAAAAAGAGGAACATGGAAATGTAATAAACGAATCACTTATTAAGCACCTACTGTATGCCAGGCATGGTGCATACAAAGTTAAAAGTTGAGAATCCCCGCCCTCAAGGAGCTGACATTTTGTCAGAAGAAAATACACGTACGTATTAATGTACACCAAACACAGACGAAATAATTTTGAGTTGTGTCTGTGGAAGCCCCAACTACCTGGGGGCAGGGATCAGAAAAGGGCTCCTGTAGGATATGATAGTCCTTGAGTTGAGCCTTTGAATGAAGTGAAGCTTTTGGGCACTTAGGTGGCACAGCAGATAGAGTGCCAGACCTGGAGTCAGGAAGACTCATCTTTGTGAGTTCCAACCTAGCCTGACACGCACTAGCTGTGTGACTCTGGGCAAGTCACTTAACCCTGTTTGCCTCAGTTTCCCCAGCTGTAAAATGAGCTGGAGAGAGAAATGGAAAACTACTCCAGTATCTTTGCCAAGAAAATCCTAAATGGGATCATGAAGAGTCAGACACAACTGAAAAATAACTCAACAAAAACAACAAATGGATTGTAAGAGGAGGGAGCATATTCCAGGTATGATGGATGGCCCATGCAAAGGCATTGAGATGGGAAATGTCAAGTCATGTGAGAGGAACAACCAGAAGGCCAGTCTGGCTGAACAGGACCTGGGAACTGACCAACAGTCCAGGGATCCCCATAAGGTGTCAGAAATGCTAGCCTGGAGAGGCAGGAAGACCCAGGCTCAAATGCTGTCTCTAAAACCTACCAATCACATAGGATTGGAACCCAGGTCCTCTGGCTCCAGATCTTTCCATCTTTCTTTTGTACCACACTGTCACTCTTCTCTGTTTCCATGTTGTTTCCTCTCAACGGAATGTAAAGCTGGTGGTTACAGCTCTTACTTTGGAAGGCATAGCTGTCAGGCTGGTAATCATTATTGCTGTCTCCTTTCTATTGCTTTGTCTCTCAGCTTTTAATTTCCATACTCTGTAATAATAATTATCTTTTTTTTTAAAAAATCTAGAGATAATGTAATGATATCTCAGATCCCTGGAGTCTCCTCTTTTGATGCTTTATGGAGTTTAAATTTAATAAAATGCTAGAAGTATAGTCACAATAGCTCAGAGCCCCAGTTAGGAAAATAGTTAACATTTAGGCAAATATTTGTATCTCTGCTCTCATTTGAATAAATGCTTATCTCTAGCTAATTTCTGATCTCTCTATGGCTGAGGAAAAGCTCAGGTTACCATGAAACACAGAGGAAAAGAAATGAGTGAGACATCTTCCAGCGTCTGTTAATGGACAGGCACTGGGAGGGGAAGTAGGGAGAAGAGAAGACCTTTTCTGGAAACTTCCCTTAGTCCTTGCCAAGGTCAATACAACAAGTAGCTTCAGCCTAAGACTTCTGATCCAAGATGCCTCAATGGTCCTCCTTGATGTCTCCCTGTTGGGCTCCAGCTTAATCCTTTTCACACCTTGTTGCTCTGACACCACTTGTTGGTGGCTCCATTGCTGAGCTCCTCCTTCTTCTTCTCAGTCTGTCTCTTGAAGACCATTCATTTCTCTTCCAGAACTCAGGAACCTGACTCAATTCCCCATTCTAGTCAAAGACCTAGATGGCTTCAAATCATTCTTAGGACCCAAATGGAATGTTCATCCCTTTCAGCTGTGAGTCCCAGGATGGCAGTCAGGTCTCAAATCTCTACTCCAGGGGCTTCTCAATGCTCACTGAGTTGGACTATACCTGTCCCTGAGCTTTTCTCTTTCTAATGCTATGATCCTGTGACTCTAGATCTTCAAGGGAAAAATGGACAACTTGAGAGAGCCAAGGTCTCCAATGCAGCTCTGAAACAGCAAAACCGTGAGTTCCCTCTCATCTTCAATACCTTTTGTACTGACCTCCAAGCTTCTGCCCAGTCCCATCATTACCCAAGCTTCAGTGTCACATGGAGAGTTATCCAAGGTGCAGGCACCCTGTTCCTCCTTTGCTAGCTTCCTCACTGTCCCTCTTCCTGGCTACTTCAGAAAAAGGGAAGAAGTGAAAAGTACTCATCCCTAACCCAACCAATGGCCTCCCCCTTTGACACACCTGGACCCAAGAGGCTTTTGATCTGACAATAATAGTTTAACTCTGGCTCCCACTAACCAAGCTTTGGTCACCAGTCTGTAGCCAGCCAATTTCTGGGTCAAGAGGCAGAGCTGAGCCCTGCACAGCTATGGTCTCCCTTCTCCTCATTCTCATTCCTCTTTCTTCCCAAGAAATTCTTGTTCAGAGAATCTCAGAGCGTAGCATCATCCACGGTGGAAATCGCTACTACTTTTCCTGTGGCAAAATGTCCTGGAATGATGCTGAGCAGTACTGTGTATTGAAGGGCTCCCACCTGGTCTCAGTGACTTCAGTGGAACAACAGGTCAGTGCTGTCCTTGGTGGCCCTAGAAGTGGGAGGTAGAAGTGTCAGTAAGTTGAGTGTCCACAGGCAGCTCATTTTAACTCTCTGTCAGTCTACAAGCAACCCAGACATAGTCTCACACATAGCTAGGGCTTATTGAAAACACAGAAAGGCATAGACTAGCTGTGTGACCCTGGATAAGTCATTTAAGCTCTGCTTTGGTTTCCTCATCTATAAAATGGGAATAATAATAATAGGACCTACCTCCCAAGCTGTTGTGATGATCAGATGAGATAATAATTGTAAAGTGCTTAGCACAGTGCCAGGCACGTAGGTGCTATATAAATGTTAGCTATCAATATTATTATGGCCCAAAATCACACAGTCAGTATGTGTAAAAGGCAGGACTGGTGGCTATGAGACCAGCTCTTTAGAGACTATACAACAGCTACATGTGCAAGAGAAACAGAAATCTTTACGAAATCAGTACAGGGTGATTGTCAGGGTGGGGTGGGGTGGGAGAGCCCAAACAGCTGAAAAGGGAGGACAGATCTAATGGAGATGATATCTGAGCTGAACTGGGAAGGAAATTAGGGATTCTAGGAGACAGAGGTGACGAGGAAGTATTTTCCATCCATGAGGGACAGCCAGTGCAAAGGAGATGGCGAATGTGTCATCTGCAAAGAGCAATAGAAAGGCCAGTTTGACTGGACCTTAAGGTGCGTAAATAACAGCAACGATTAGCATTATATAACGCCTACCACATGTGCTGTGTTAAGTGTTTTAAAAATCCTCATAACTGTAAGTGCTATTATTATACCCATTTCACAGTTGAGGAAATGGAGACAGACAGGGGTGAAATGACTTGTCCGAGGTTACACATAGTAAGTAACTGAGGCTGGATTTGAACTCAAGTCTTCCTGGCTTCAGGCCTGGTGCTCTATCCACTGCCCTGTTTAGCTGGGAAGTAATACACAGTCATTCTGGAAAGATAGGTCAGAAAACAGAAGTCAGGCAGAAAAAGTTGCATTTGATCCTAGAGTTAATAGGAAGTCTTTGGATTGTAAAGGTCAGAGGAGTGATGCGATCAGACCTATGTTTGAGGAAACATGCACACACACACATGCACATGCACACATATGCACCCATACATGCACACACACACGCACACACACACGTACTCACATACACACACTGGAATCCTCATAAGCATACACAATCGATACATGAGTACACACTCAAACGTGCACAAACATACAAGATACCCCTTTAAAAATACTCTTTTAGGGGTAGCTAGGTGGTGCAATACATAGAGCACTTGCCCTGGATTCGGGAAGACCTGAGTTCAAATCCGGGCTCAGATACATAACACTTTACTAGCTGTGTGACCCTGGGCAAGTCACCTAACCCCATTGCCTAGCCCAAAATAAAAAAAATTAAAATATTCTTTTTGCTCCATAGAAATTTCTTTATGAAAAAGCCAATGGTACCTACTATTGGATAGGACTGAGTAACCAAAATGCTTTAGGCTGGCAATGGACCGATGGGACCCCATATGATGAAGCGCAAAGCACAGAGTGAGTCCAATCCCCTTCCCGCCCCGCTTCCCCTCTTCTGCTCCAAGAGACTCTTTGAGATTTCCCCAAAGTAAACTCAAGCTGAACATTTAGTGTGGCCTCTATGGCAATGTATGCTGTGTGTGTGTGTGTGTGTGTGTGTGTGTGTGTGTGTGTGTGTGTGGCCCCAGGGAGAGAAGAGCTTAGAAGAGTGCATGGCCTTGGGTGTGAGGAGGAGGGGAAAGGGATTAGACTTTGTGTCCCTGGAAGCTTGCCTCCTATGCCCATCTTTCTAGGCTCTGGCTGTGGGCTGGGCAGGTAGGTACTGCTGAGATACCAGGCTGTGGCAGCATCTGAGGCCAGGCCTCCCTGAAACTGGGTCCAAACCTAGAAGATGAAGTTTGTGTTAGTATTTGGTGACCAACTGGGAATTTGAAGGATTAAGCCCTCTCATTTCAATGATCTCCTGTCTTTCCAGGTTCTGGGCCAATGAGAAACCAAGCAATGAAAAAGAAGATTATAACTGTGCCCATTTCTGGGCAAAGACACAAAAATCATGGAATAATTACATTTGCACATTTTCTTGCAGGTTTATCTGTAAGTGGAACTGTGAGTCATCTAGGCTGTGCCCAAACATATAAACATCTGGCACCTGAATGCTGCTGACCCCCACCCCAGAAGCAATGGGGCAGATAGCAGACATTGGAGTTTATGGGTGCCGTTTTCCTTTCCAATATCAAGTTCCCCCAAAGGAACCTAGAAGACTATGCAATGTCTGATCGCTTGTGCCGAATGATGTCCCTATGCCTTCAGGCAGCCATAGACCCTCCTTCGTCTCTTAGTCATCATTGCTAGAGCAATCACCCAGGCTTGTGCCCTCACCATTCACTCATTTCTCCAGGTGCCTCTCACATGTGCATGCAGTTCCTGCCCAGTCTTCTTTCCTCTTCCCCAGTGAGCTGAGGAACAAATTTGAAGAGAGGGGCCTGACAGGACTTGCCAGCTGTCCTGCTCCCCCAAGGAGAACAAATCCTAAGATTCCTACCTACTGATCACTAGGTCTGGAAATCACAAGATCCCAGCTCACCTTAGCTCTAAAATACCCCTCAAGGCCAGTCTGGCTCCTTTCTTTGTCCAGGGGCTGGAGGCAAAGATTGGCTACTTTTATTTCCTACCGGAGATGCAGGAAGAGGAAGGCACCCTGTCAGATTAAAACATACATAAACAATCAAGACTCTATACTGAACAAGGGGAGGTGAGGGTATGTGATTATATAGGAAGGGTGGTGTTATATATAATACATATATATGTATATACATACAGATGACAAATGAGATTTTGTATACATGCATACACATATAGATAGATAAATAGATGTAGATTTATAAACACTTTGCAAACCATTAAGAGCTATATAAATACAAACCTTTGCTAAGATCTCATTTACATTTTTTAAATGGCTCTTAAATGATCCTGGGCAGGAGTGTGATGAGCTGATTGTTAAATTTTCACACATTGGAAATCAATAGCTCCAAATCAAGACCTGATTTATTGTTTCGTTGATTATCTAGGCTTAAGAAAGTATTAATAATATTTAAATGTGTGTCATGAGAACATCTTTTTTCTTTTTTTGTTAAACATTTACCAACATACACCTGTCCCTGGAACAAGTCACCAAAGATTGCACTAAGTCCCTAAGAACAAGTCAACATCCTGCCATTGCTTTTTCAAAAACATTGGATGATCTATGTACTATCTTCCAGGTAGATAAAATAGCTGAATAAAAGAATTCAGATGTAGACATATGTCCATTTTTGTCTCTATACTGGTGCCCCGAAGTATATGGAGTACATTGTAGATGCTTCTCTGATGACTGTGAATGAATGAATGAATGAATGAATAAACTGTAACTTCCTGACCTTTTCATAGACCACCTTTACCTGACTCAGACTCCCAAAGTTCAGTAAAATTCAATTGTTCTGCATGAATGGGGTGCCCTAGTGAAGACTTCTCAGTGTAATTAAGGTAATGAGTTCAGAAGGTAGTGTGAGAAATGAACTCTCAGAAGTGAAGGCTCCTCAAAGGGTCAAATAATTCTTGATTATTACTTTTAAAATCCTCCCCAACTCAGACCTGTTTTTAAGCACTTAATCAAAAGAATAAGCCCTGCCCTACCCCCAACCTGAGCCATTTGCCCTTGGCTTCTGGCCTCTTTCTTTGTCTTTGAATTTCGGGCCTGGAATGTAAGCCTCACCTCTGAGTTAAGGGGGTAAGAGATAGTGGTGGGTGGAAACTTGGTTGCGTGGTGGGAAGAGATTTGCTTTCATAAGGCGGGCCCTGTTACTTGGTCTCTCTCTTCTCTCCACATGTATCGAAGGAGCAGACAGCCATCTCGTGAGACTGTAATAAAGGTAACCTTTGCTTTCCACCTTGAGAAGTCTCTGAGTTTAATTTGGGTTGGGGTCGCTGTCCCACACAGCTTTGGAGATTCCACCAAGATTTCGCCCATCTGTGAGGCAGACTACCATCTGGATCCTGGGGGTCAGGGCACCCTTGGAGATTTCTCTGGTAGCTCTCAGACCAGATTTAGGGAGCCTCCCTCCGTTTGGGTAAGGTCTCAAAGAGAGACACTCAAGGGGGAAAGCAAAGGCAGGGCAGCTATAAGATTGTGTGAAACCAGCCAGCCGCAGTGAATAGAGTGAAATAGAGTGAAGAATCGGATCAGTCACGTGAGTTGTATGCATACAGCCTGACCGAGGCTCTCATGTTCCTTTATTCTTTAAGTCCTTGACCTGGAGGGAAGGCGACGACCCTCAGCTAAATTATCTAATTGCTAAGTCTCTGACTTAGGGCTGGGGGGCGACCCCGCCTGACTAAATTCTGGGGACACTCAGAGAGCATTCAGGTGACTGTAAGGGGGGAGAGCGACCTCTTCTGTTAGTTAATCTTTGAGTCACTGACTCAGAGAGAAGAGCAATCTCTCTCAGCCAAATTCATTTGTGTAATTGTATATAGGTAAGAAAATTATGGGCAAACCGCAGTCTAAAGTAGTAAACCAGAAGCTGCCATTTGATACTCTGGAAGATAGTCTTTTAGGGAGTAGACTGCAAGATTGGAATGAACTACCGGAATAAAAAGGGAAAGATTAAAAAAAAATTGATTAAATATGATGTGAGGACTCTGCAGCAATTTGTTGTATGTCTGTTTTGTGTTCCTGTTTGTTTCCGTGGTGTGAATGAGAGTGAATAGAGGGTTTGAGAGTAAAAGGTCTGGAAACTTTTGGAATAAAAAATATATGTATATATTTTTTAAGACCAGTGAATTGTTCAGAATGCATAGTGAGGTTGTAAAAGCAGTCCAGGAAGAGAGAGGGAGGGCCCTATTCAATTATCTATAGAGGGTTACATCCTGTTCAAAGTGCTGAAGCCTGACGTTTTCAGGAGGGAGGTTCCATCTGATGAGCCTCTAAGAAGCAGAGGGGACTTCTTTCTTAGTTCCCGTAAGGAAGTAGGAAAGAAAAGGAGGATTTAGAGCAGGAATTGTCACCACATGTCTTTTCAAGGGAATATGTAAATTTGTGGAGGATATTTCCTTTTAAAGGGCCAAGAGTATTGGATTTAAAACAAAAATGTTCTTAATTGTTTATTATTAATGATTATAATTTCAGATCTGATTGGATTTAAGTTTACTGTTAAAAAAATGGTTGTTATGAGATGTGGCATTATTAGTTAATGTAATTGTTGAAAGTGCTAAGAATAATAAAATTGATAATTCCTACTTGTGATAATCTGGAAATGCAACTGATGTTATCTGAAGTTTATTGCTTAAGTTATTACTATGTTTCTAAATTGTATTGTATTTCTAAAACTCTTAGATTGTAAAATTTGAGGAACCACTGTGAGTCAGAAATGGTGTTAGGTAACTCTTGAATGGGTCTTTTAGTGATAAAGATGAGATAATTTGAAACTTAAATACCTAGTGAGGTATATTTGATTATAAGACTATGATAGGAGATTTTCGTTTAAAATCTTGACTATTATAAAAAATATATATATGGGGTTTAAAGTTATAGTTTCAACATATTAATGATGAGATGAATTATTCTCTGGTCAAAGTGATTGGGAGTGCATTCATCTAAATTGATAATGGGTTATTTCAAAGTTTATTACAATTTTGGGAATAATTTTATAATGTATGCCCTGTGATACAAACATATTTTATTGTAAAAAAACTTATTGATATGTATTTGGAATTAATGAGGTATTCTCTCATATTAGGGCCTCAATTAGAAATTGGAAAAGTAAAAAATATATATGTATGTATGTATACATATATACATACATACATATATACACATACATACATACATACATACATATGTATATATACACATACATGTTTTTCAACCCAGGCCTTCTTTAGGCCAACTATTGGGTTTGTTGGGGGATGGGCCATGTGGGCCTGGGGGAAATCCAAGCTACCAGCCACCAAATTCCTGATTGGGTGTGTCATTGTGGTTGAATCAGGATGTGGCCCGAGGATATCAGACCAGTAAAAAGACAATGATGGTCTAGCATAGATAATAAAGAAAAGCCAGTCTAGTGGGATGGGAGTGGCCCCAGGAGACTGGACCTGGTGAAAGAATTCAGAAAGAAAGAAAGATCTTTATTGGGTCTGTTCTAAGTTTTTAATATACTGCTTACATATTTCTGAATGTGATGTAATCTAGTAAGTAATTGTATTAGCTACGTTGTTGGAAGGGCAATTTATTTTATAACCCAGAATGTTAAATTAAGAATTGTGCCTTCAGAGAAGAGGAAAAAAAAAGGAATGAATCGGGGCTGTTGGGACATTCTGTATGGTCCTGTTTTGTAACATTTCCTTTTAAGTATTGTAATTTAAGAAATGAGAACTTCCAAGTTTTGTCTTTGTTTAAAGGGAAGTTTTAGCTGGGATTATCTGGCTTTCACTTATGAAGCTTAAAGTTGTTAACTAAGCTATTTGGAGTTATTGTTTAAGCCAAGCACTGGTAAAAGTATTTTGTGTGTGTGAAAAGAAACTTGATAATTATGCAAAAAACAAAAACAAAAACAAAAAACCCCCAATTTTGTAAAATCTCATAATTCTCAGACAGACACCTTTTGACTATAGAATTTAGGTAACTAGGAATTTTATGGTAATTAGAAAATTGTAAGCTGTTTTTGAGAAAAGGAGATACTATTACAAAAAAATGTTTTGAAATCTTTGATACTCTTTTTAGAGAGCCTACTAAATTTCTATTTGCAAGAAAATTATGTCCAAACCTACTATGAACTTAGAATTTTGTTCCTGGGTTTGTTGTATTCTTGGACTGGACTCAACTTTTAGAGAAACAATCTCAGTGGGAGCAGTGTCAGAGATCTAAAACTAGTGATTAATACTAAAGCATCTAAATCTCTGTAATCCATCATTTAAAGGAATTATGAGAGCAGTAGTATTTGTCTGTGATCAGTCTCTTACTGTTAACAATGTGAGATTAAATTCTTATTATCTAGGATATGTGATTTTGTGGGACAGAAATTTACTATTGTTTTGAGCTTTGATTACCAGGATAATTGTCTGAGTTGTCATGAAGCCAATAGTAGAACCATCATGTGCTGCAGGCTGAAAACTGATAAAGGTGGATGTCTATGCCTGGATAGAGTTTTGAGGATGACCTTGGACACAGCCTAGGTAGGATCTTCCTGACTCTATTTCCCAATTGTGCTATTTCCTTTCTAAAAAGGAAAATCCCCAGCTGATTAATCCCAAGCCCTGCTTTTAACATCCAGTGACTGCATGATTGGCTAACAGATATGACTCCTGCCTGGAATCAAATAGAGCTAAGGAAGTTCTTTCCTTCTGATATGATATATGACTCTGTCCCTCTGGAACATCTCTGAGTTACCATAATAGGATGCAAGTACATTCATGGCCAAATAATAATAATATAGGGATAACATCCTCTTAAGGAGGAAATGTTTAACAAAATAATAAGACAAAGGTATAACGTGATAGATGTCTAATTAAATGGGACAGCAAATTTTGAGACAGATGTATATGATTGGCTTCCAAAATGTATCTAACATGGAAATCCAAGCTTTAAGCATGTTTAGGTAAGAAGATCACAGATTTGGATTTTTACACTAAGCCAGAGAAGCAGAGCTCCCTTTTTGAACTGCCTATTGTTTGAACCTAGTCCTGTGTGACTGGGAAAACTGAACCATCTCTATGTGCCTTTAACTAAAGACTTATGAGGGATTCTGTGATGACTAGGAATTCAGTTTCCTTAATAATACTCTGGAATTTGTGTTATTTAAGAACTTTTGCACTAATTTAGTAAGG